GACGATCAGATCTTAAGTCAGGTTACTCATTTGTAATTTATGATTTTTTAGATGAAGATTCATCCCTGGATGATGCGAGACATGTCCTCGAAATGACCGCTGATTATGTTAAGAATTTTACAGCTGACATATTTGATATTCGTCTTGGGGAGACAGAATTTATTTCAGATAAAAAGTCCCTGAATATATCAGCATCTATTGATTGCGGAGAAGGAATGGTACCTAACAACGGTTCATGTGGTATGTTTATTTTCATTTTCCCTATAGATTCGAAACATTCATTTTGGCCGGGTTGCACTGGTGCAAACCCGGGTAATAGTATGGTGAATGTTGGGCGGCGGGTGGTGGGGGAAATTTTTCGTAACATTTTTCTCAGCAACTACTTATCACAGCCTTTTGATATTTGGTATAAAGCATTAATACATGGTCCCATACTGTGGGATTCGATTTCAGGTCTGTCGCTCATCTACTTCCTGTTTGCCGACCTAGTTAAATTTTCAGCATTAATGGTCAATAGAAGGAAATTTTCGTAACAGTTTTCTCAGCAACTACTAACCACAGCCTTTTGATATTTGGTATACAGCATCAACACATAGTCCCATACTGTGGGATTTGATTTCAGGTCTGTCGCTCATCTACTTCCTATTTGCCGACCTAGTTTAATTTTCAGCATAAATGGTCAATAGAAGGATTTTTTTGTAACAGTTTTCTCAGCAACTACTTATCACAGCCTTTTAATATTTGGTATACAACATCAAAACATGGTCCCATACTGTGGGATTTGATTTCAGGTCTGTTGCTTATCTACTTCCTGTTTGCCGACCTAGTTAAATTTTCAGCATTAATGGTCAATAGTAGGAATTTTTCGTTTAATGCTGGTCAATAGTAGGAAATTTTCGTAACAATTTTCTCAGCAACTACTAATCACAGCCTTTTGATATTTGGTATACAGCATCAACACATGGTCCCATACTGTGGGATTTGATTTCAGGTCTGTCGCTCATCTACTTCCTGTTTGCTGACCTAGTTTAATTTTCAGCATTATGGTCCATAGTAGGAAATTTTCGTAACAGTTTTCTCAGCAACTACTTGTCACATCCTTTTGATATTTGGTATACAGCATCAACACATAGTCCCATACCGTGGGATTCGATTTCAGGTCCGTCGCTAATCTACTCCTGTTTGCCGAACTAGTTAAATTTTCAACATTAATGGTCAATGGTAGGAAATTTTCGTAACAGTTTTCTCAGCAGCTTCTTATCACAGCCTCTTGATATTAGGTATACAGCATCAACACATGGTCCCATACTGTGGGATTCGATTTCAGGTCTGTCGCTCATCCACTTCCTGTTTGCCGACTTAGTTAAATTTTCTACATTTATGGTGAATGGTAGGAAATTTTCGTAACAGTTTTCTTGGCAACTACTTATCACATCCATTTGATTTTTGATATACAGCATAAACACGTGGGCCCATACTGTGGGATTTGATTTCAGGTATGTTGCTCATCCACTTCCTGTTTGCCGACTTAGTTAAATTTGACATAATTAATGATCAATAGATAGTAGAAAATTTTCATAACAGTTTTTGTCAGCAACTACTTACCACAGCTTCTTGATATGTGGTTCACAGCATTGACATGTGGTCCCATATTGTGGGATTCCATTTCAGGTCTGATGCTCATTCTTTTTCAGTTTACCAACTAAGTTAAATTTTCAACATCAATGGTCAAGACAGTGGTAGAAAATTTAAGTAACATCACTGTGAGCCTCATGATATTTTGTATACATATGCAACCAGGCCTTTTCTGTCTTTGACCCATTTTATAATATTTAAGACATTGATATTTGTGGTGGTGGTGGTAGTTTTCACGTCGGATCACAACAGTAAGCCACATTGAATTCACCAGAGCACAGTTCAGCCACCGCATCGTTCCTGGACAGGCTGTCAAGCAGTTTACCATCACTTTTTGCCTTCACTTTCGCAAGGAACTGTAACTTCTGTAGGTGCCAAAGCAGAGGTACAGTGCAAATGACCGTAGAAAGAATTTCATGATCCATTGCAACGGAAGTGACCTGCGCCGTCCGGGAATCGAGCCCGGGTCGCCCGAGTCACAGTCCAACCTATTGAGGTAACGGTACGGCTTACACAGACATTAATATTTATAAATATACACACATTTATTTTAAGTATAACTTCATCATCTGATAATAGACATACGATTAGAAGTCAAATAACGTATAATTTAGTTTACTTTTATTAAATGCTACATGATCGGAATTCTATTTTTAACAACTACAGTATTTTGTTTGAAGCTGTTTGTTCAAAGGGCTGTTACATAACAAATGAAAAGTGCGAACTTTGTGGGAAAGGTTTCTATCAAGAACAGCCTGGACAGACTGAATGTATACCATGTCCTGTGGGTTACACAACAATAATGCCAGGAGCCATATATCCATACGAATGCTCAAGTAAGTTTTTTCCTTCTTTTAACGCATGTCGCACACATTAGTATTGGAATATATCAACAGATTTATTAATTACTTTATTTGTATGTGAATAGATTAACACAAGTATTAATCACTTAATGGGGACATTTCAAGGCATCGTGGGAAAATATTCACCTTAAAATTCCCTTTGGTAATTGATTACAATTGATATACTCATTACAATATAGAATTATATTGGTTAAGTTCTTCATGATTATAAGGGATCTATTTATATGTATACTGGGTTCCTATAATCTGTTTCTGCCTCCTACGATATAGACTGTGTTGGCTGAACTGATTTTCTTATAGCTGATACATGATCTATTTACATGGCTCTTTTTCTTCCAATGCAGAACCAGCTGTCAATACCTTGGATACAGTCAGTAAGTGTACAATACTATAATTATTACAAATATTTCAAATTTAATGTAAATTTACTATTTAATGAACGATAATGAAACAAGAAACAACTTTATCTTAAATCATAAGCCAAAACAAAGTAGCATTTAATAATAAAAAATACATAAACCAATTATACTCAACATCACTAATTCCGTGTCATCATTTAGGTCACGGTAATGGCATATTTCCATGTGACCAGTGTTAAAATTTATTAGGATTGATATAGTTTATTCATAAACCTAAGCAACAAAGTTTTTGTGCAAAATATTTTAAATCTTTAGATTTTTACGTTAAACAGAACAATATTTTAGAAATTTCTGCATAAAGCTACAACTGTCCATTGAATTTTTCGTATGTTGGAAACAATCGTCATTTTCTTAATGTTCTTGTGTGTTGGAAAAACAAATTTTGAGTCACAAAGTAAAAATAGTTTTGATATTTAAAATTGAGCAGTATACCATGTACATGTAGAAATTTTAACTGAAATTTTAATTGAATTATGAAAAGTTATAGTGTAACACCATTTACTGCTATTTAAATTATGACATACTGTTTTCAAAATGGCCGACACATGGTTTACATCTGACCCATTAAAACTAATTTTGATTGAATATATTGTTGTTTCCTTGTGTCATATAGTAAAACAATACCTAAATGTTAAGCATATGACAGTTTTAGTACCATAGGATCATTGTTTGTTTTCTTTCCTTTTTTAAAGTGTTAAATACCGTGAACTAAGAGGAGCACAGTATATATACTATCATTCTGTTTAAGAAATAACATCGGCCTGAGAGGTGTATATCGGCTATTTAACACCGGTTTGGAGTTTTGATGCGTAGGAATTGACCACGAAGGCCGTAGGCCTGAGTGGTTAATTTTGTCGCATCAAAACGACAAAACCGGTGTTAAATAGCCGATATACACCTCTCAGGCCGATGTTATTTCGATTCTAATACGTTAAAAGAAGGAAAATCACTGATGTTATTTTTCAAGCGGAAAATACTTCCGGTGCCGATTTTCGTACATATAATTAGAGCGCTGTTCGATTTTCGCACTCTACTGTGGCGAAGATATAGAAATTATTAAACAAAAGAAATAATAAGAAAAAAAAACGTTATTTTATCAAGCTTTCAACAATATAAACTTACGTCGTATTGTGTTTACATCAGTGCCCCATTTGTATGAAATAACGTCAGCTTGTTTATGAATGAGTTGTTTACTTAGGATGACGTCATTACGCTGCTTACGGATTGGCGCCTGTGTCTTTCACGTCATCGATCCGAAATATGTATGCAGCTGATATATTACGTGACGTATTAGCGTTATACAAATATGTAAACGCTAATGTTAGCGATCTTAAGGCGCGTAATGTAATGACTTATATTAACGTCTATTTGGGTGAACGATATTATTTGTAATCATATGAAAAGTAAAACATATATACGCAGAGGCTCGAAAATATTATAATTCAAAAATGATCTTTTTATTCTATTTACTAATATGGATTAAATGTGCTTATGTATGCTATATCTATTGTATGAAAAATTATACGAACGAATATAAATAAAAGCTTTATTGCTTAATGCTTGTAAATACATGAAACATACAGCGCATATACAAGTAGACCCTAACCGGTGTTTATTGGCAGTTTAACACCAGTTTTTTTCCTTCTTTGTCTATAGTGACAAAATCACGTGATTGTTAGAATATTTATTTAATAGCAAAAAGTATATTAATAAGCAAAACAAATATACATTTAAGATTAGATCTGATATTAACCTGCTAAATGTGCAGGCTTGCCTGGCTTTAGATTAGTAGCAAAGGCTCGCCCGTTCTTCACTTCAGTGCTGAGCCTTTGGGACTCCAGTACTTTTTACTGCTGAAAATTGAGTACCGCTCAAGCCGGTGCTAGGGGTTTTGATCACTTTTGGATCAAGCAAGATTATGTTTAAACTCTGTATATCCTCAATGGACTTTAAAAAAACGATTTTTATGATGAAACATATAAATAAAAAACATATCATACGAGATTTATCTATTCATTATTTCTGATACTCTTAACCGATCAATTTGATCCGAAGAAAGTAACTCAACTGTTTTTGTTTGCAGAAGATATTGTGAATATAGTGGTATCTGTAGTAACACCAATTGTGGCACTCATAGTAGCTATCCCAACATTTATCAAGGTGTACGAGAAATACAGGTGAATATATCTTATTATTATATAATCTATAAATTGCTTTGAAACGCCTTGATTGGCTAAAAAAGCAACTGTTTGTAGAAAATAACAGGTCAGTATCAGAGTAAATTCACTGTTTGTTTTTCCTTCAAAATAGATTTTTAGAGTATATTCACTGTTTTGTTTTTTCTCCCAAAAATAGATTTTCTAGAAATCCCCCGAAAGACGCGAGACTTTGACGTGACGTCATGCCTGGGTTTGTGGTTATTATACAGAAATAAAACGTTGAATGACTCGTAAATAATAGTCAAATTTGTCTTTTTTAATAACCGACCTTACATTTATAAGGGCCGCATCATTCTGAAAAATAACGATTTCCGTCGTATGCAACGGCAGATTTGATAAGCCATATACATGTAAAAGCTATTTATAATTAGTATATAATAAAACAGATATTTACTTTTTAGCTGTGGATTATTATACAATTATTGACTAGTTAGCCATTGAATATGATGGGATATTCACCGGCAGATGCCATATTGACCGAGGTGATAGCCGAGGTCATATAATAACATGTGATATGTACTGAAAAATTAATATTGACCTCGGCTATCGCCTCTGTCAATATTAATTTTTTTCAGTACACTGCACAGCATATTCAGCATACTATTATCGTTTCCATATACATCTGATATGATAAATCACATAAAAGCCTTGACGCTGCAAGATTTAAATTTGTAAATTTTTGTTTGATATTTTTTCACCGATAAAATCCATTCCTAAAGCTTTAACGGTTATAGTAGACATAAATATTTACATATTTTTTCAATGTTACCAACAATATTATTTTGAAAACACATTTAACCTACGAAGAAAGTAGCGTTAATGAATGTACAGTAGTGTGGCTCGATGGTAGCAAAATGTAAACCGAGTAGTATCTTGACTTCCATACAAAACATTAATTCACTATAATTATAAATGGCCAACAGAGCAACCGTAGCAAAAATTATCATGTTTATGGCAACCAAATATTGTTTAAAGATACCATGAATAAAAAGGTTCCTAGAAAAAGAATTGATAACATTTGTGAGACATAATTGGCCGATAATGAATAATAATAATTTCCTGTTTCTTGTTAAATATCCTATATTCATGTACTCCGAAGAAGGCTGTTTGTACAGCCAAAGCGATTGCACAATGTTTATTAAAGGGAATTGTAGAGTATTCAGTTGACTACTTTTATTGATCCTTTAATGAATAACAAAGTTACACTACTGTCATTGTTAACTTGAAGTATATTTTAATTATTACCGATGTCTTTTTTATTATTATTTATTTATCTATTTATTTATTTATTTATTTTTGGTGAAGCAATTGAAACAATTATTTTAACATTAAAAGTATGACATCTCTCTATGTGAGGAGGGGTTATAAGAAATAATGCTTCTCATACCTATAAAACTTAAACATTAGCTCTGATGAACAGACACAATGAAACTGAGTCTACATTTTTAATGTAATAGTGTTGTTTAATTAATACGAGGAATTTCCCCTTTGCCTGTATTTTATACGTAAAAACATGTTTTAATTTATCACAGAGAAAAAAGAGCAATGAAGAAAGATGTAAGTGAACAATTTTTATATGAATTATAATAATTTATATTTCTATTTCATAACATTCGTCGGCTTTTCAAAATTATATAATACATTTAACAAATAAATTGTGCTTTCTTTACATAAACATGACTTTCTTAATCAAATATGTTTAAGCTGTTAAATGTTGTTTCAGATTGTTGTTTGGATTTTATGACTATGTATTCGGTATTTCAAACTTACTTAAAACATGGCATTCAAATAATGTGTATGTTTGTATCACCGACAGATAGCTTTAACTATTCAAACACAAATGTGTTCCTTGTTTAATCACATAATATAATGTGTCAGCGGAACTTTAAATGATAAAATTATCACGATGACGTCAGCGGTTCGCCTAAAGATCTTGTTAAAAATAATTGTAGGGCAATATTGACCGGAGACATTTGAATTTTCAATGACCTTTTGTTGGTCTTTATTGGATTTGACCGTAAATCATACGGATTCTTAACTATAGCACAACGCTATATGACATATTAATTGAAAGTAGTCGCTTAAAACGGGACTTACTAGCCTCAAAGACAAAATGTTAGGCTTTCAGCTTCATTCTGAAGTTAATAGATTCGATGCATGACGAAACAATTTATACCCTTTTTTGGCATTTTCTTTTATCATTATTACTTTATTATATTTTGGAAACATTTAGCACTATGTTCTGTGTACATGCGTACCACACATTACTAGACTTAACATTTCATGAAAATAAACATACATGTATATATCAATTATGAAATTAGAAAAAAAACAGACACTGAATTTGAACTTTTATTCATTCATGCTGCATGTAATGCATATAATGAACCTGTTAAAGAAAAATAATGAAAGAAATCTTTAAATAAATTGTGTTAATGAAAAAAATCAAAATGCCACGCATTTTATCCCCCCCCCCCCGCCATTGAGGCCCAATTGTGAATAATGCTTTATTTAGACCCCAAACTTTGTTTCGTTTGAGAAATGGTGTAAAAAGTGTTGGCGCCATTCCCTATGAAATAGATACATCAAAGGGGTGCAAGAGGGGGGATATGACTTGTGAGAGGCTAAAAAAGGTCGATCTTAAGGTAACGTATAACCAGTTCTTTGTAATCAGTTCTGGTTGAAAAATCAACGAAAAATGGAGATATCTGGCAATTTTGAGATGTCCCCTCGTTGTCATAGTACATAGGACATTTACGATTGAGTATACGGTTACAAAGGCTATGCTCCAGTCAACATTTGTGCCACGTTTGAGCAGCATTGAAGACTTTTTGATAGTTTCATAGCATTTTGAACTTGTAACAGGAGGCGTTTCAATGAAAACAGCCATTTTCCGCTGAGAATCAAAACCCTAAAAAGGTCAAATTTAAATTGTTTTCATAGATCGGCTAGGGCATTAAAAACTGAAACATATGCAAACAAAATTAAGAAATATACTGAGAAATAAATTTCAAAATCGTAATTTTGCTCAGTTCTTGAGTGAAAAGTGTTACAACACTTTTTCCAATTTGGTCATTTTTCACATTCAATTAGAATAATTGTTACCGAAAAACGGGGGAAAATGGTCTGGAATTTTGTGAAATTAATGTTCAAAATTGCTACTGGTCAAAACAGTCATTAAATTGGCCATTTAATTTCAGTCCCGTTATGCAAAACTAAAACAAAAAAAAATCTCATTGGTCAGTGGATTAAATCTTGTAGCTACGTGACTGCAGTTCAGTTGTTTTTACCACTGGGCAATCATATCGAATTGTAGATTTAAGTATCAAGAACTATCCTTTAATTTAAAACCATATTGTTAATTTACAAAATACGGAAACAACCGAAAAGCCGCATGAAAATGAATCAGTCTCTGGTCAATATTGCCAAACACTTTTATGGAATACCATAGAATTATTGAACAACTGTTTCAGACACTTATACCAACGACGTGTCCGAAAGATACTTTACTATTCAATCGTGGCAGAGAGGTATTTATAATATAAATTTATGTAACATAGTTATAAAATAATGGCATGAGCCCGTGTCTTTTGGATATGTTACATCTTTATCAACTCTCATGAACAGAGTCGACCAATCTGAGTCTGAAATTTTCACCTCTTTATTATTCGAGTGATCCCTCTTTTTGAGACATTTACATGTACGTCTAAAAAATTATTATTTTTCTGTTTTGAATGATCAGTATTCCTGCATAAAAGGTATTTCCGTGACTTACACAAATGAATAATTAATTGTAAAATATACTTCCCTCTCAGAGTAAGTGTTGTCAGATTACTTTACGTAATGTAATTGACCAGTAATGTCCATATTAGTCACTTCAACAAGTTAAGTAGGGAACATGATAACTTCTTGTCTCCAATACAATAAAATATAGTTTGTGTATATTTTAGCTCAAGATAACTAAAAACAAGATAAAGAAAATCGAAGCAAATTTCATAGTCCAGCCTACAGACAAGCAACTTACACAAAATTGTTTAGGTATGTCATATTATTTTGATGAAGGGATTTCTATTTCTCTACGGTACTGTATGCATAATGCTTTATCAATTATTGATATTTTGTTTTGGTACAGTTTGATATTACATAGATTTATCTGTCTATTTATGTTTGTGTATAGATTTGTTTTACGTTTCATCAATACTTTACATGCCATGTAAGGCGGGTTCCATAATCAGTGGAAGAAAGACATCTTGTCTCCGTCCGTGTATTGTTTTAGACAGTACAGGCATCCGAATTGAACCGCCGACGTTTTGTTTGCTTACTATGTAAAGTTTGTGATATGTAAAGTTGATTTGGAAATATTAAATAAAAAACAGTGAAGAAATAATTCTACAAACACATGTTCAGGCAGTTTGACTTCAAGAAATTATGTCTTGAAATTCATATTATTTCTTTAAATGTTTCGTTGTCATTTGTATATCCTCTCAAAGGCGTTCGTGGCCAAGTGGTCAAGGTCGTTGCTTCAAACCACTTTCCCCTCACTGCTGCGTGTTCGAATTTTGACGGATTTGGATTCTTTCATGTGAGGAAGCCTTTCTGCTAGCTTACAGTATGTCAGTGGTTTTACTCAATTGACATTTGTGCCTTAAATAATGCACGGAAGGGCACCCAAGGTCTGCATCCACCATTGAAGCAGGAAAGTCGTCATATGACCTATACTGTGTTGGTGAGACGTAAATAACCTAACCTCTCTGACAAGAACTATTGTAAACATGATAATGTAGTATTATTTTTATATTGACAGTTAAAGTTATATTCCTGGTCAAATTCATCAAAACAGATTGTCAAATTAACGCCTTATTGTTATCAAATGCATTATTTAACTAGTATTGACAAAGTTTTCCAACTTAGAAACGCTCTCCGTAACATTTCTGACCATTCTAAAAAATGCATTTTCTTATTTGACTGGGTTAGTCAAATAAGATTTATATTTTGGCGGGAAGCCCTTCGATTATTTCCGTAAATGTTCGGATCTGAATCACGTGATATGATTTACCAAACCAAAATAATGGCGGACAATACGAAAGGTGTGTCACGTATACGAGAAATAAATTTTGAGATTGGAAAAGGAAAAAGCGAAAAGTTGAAAGAAACTGTGATTTAATTCAATCAAGGATATACTCCGGTAGTGATTCAAAGCGATGAAAAGTTCTAAAAAGGGTAATTAAAACCAAAAAGCGACCGTGGAGTTGTTATCTGATTGACAGGTGAGGTGATCATCGTTTTTGTTTGCATTTAATTTTTTCATGGTCTTAGATCTACTTATAGAAAAATTTCACCTACGAATATATAAACACAGATATTGTGTTATAGTTTTTAGGATGGTTTTGACTCTTGATAAAGAAATTAAGCTTGCAGATCCACGTCTGTGTATCAAGTTTTCGTTCACTGTAATTTTCGTACCAATAAATTGTTATTGTTAACAGGTTAAATAAAAGATCGGCATAGCCTAATCCTTTACAATTTTATGGCGTATGTTCATTGTAACCATTGTAATATCGTTTAAGATGGCCAATCACTATCTTTTAAGAATCATTTAAGACACAACAAAATTATATTTTGAATAACCGGTGCATAGAAAAACCGGAAAGCACCGGATAGCACCGAAATACCGGAAAGCACTCAAATTTCTCATAAAAAACATATGAAAACGTTAATTAATCGGTTTGAAAGTGTTACCAATCGATTTATTAGATTAAAATCTTTCAGAAAAATCATTTTCTAAAATATATATTGATAATTATTACGAATATTTCGGAAAATAGATATATCGAGTGCTTTCCGGTCCTGTTAAGATACATGTACATTACCGCATAGCAATATTGTTTATCAAAGTTATACATGAAAACTTTATTTTATTGGTTTGAAAGTGTTACCAATCGATTTATTAGATCAAAATCTTACAGACAAGTCATTTTTATAAAAATATATTGATAATTTTTACGATTATTTAGGAAAATAGATATATCGTGTGCTTTCCGGTCCTGCTAAGGTACATGTACATTACCGGATAGCAATATTGAATATCAAAGTAATACATGAAAACTTTATTTTATTGGTTTTAAAGTGTTACCAATCGATTTATTAGATCAAAATCTTTCAGACAACATGTTTTTATAAATATATAATGATAATTATTACGAGTATTTAGGAAAACTGATATATCGAGTGCTTTCCGGTCCTGCTAAGAAACATGTACATTACCGGATAGCAATATTGTTTACCCAATTAATACATGAAAACTTTATTTTATTGGTTTGAAAGTGTTACCAATCTATTTAGTAGTTGAAGATCTATATATCATGACGTTTTTATAAATATTTTATGTTTCATTACGCGATTTTCAAAGTTGTTACAAAGTTGTATTGATTGCTTTCCGGTAATGCTAAAGTACATATACTTTACCGAATAGCACTCGAATATTTATATAAATCACACTAATCCTTCATATTAATTATGTGAAAGTGTTATAAATTGATTAATTAAGTTGAACTTATTTCAATTAAAAATATTATGATTAGTTACACGATTTTTCAATCTTGCTCATACCATATTTCTAATATTTTATAGGTTGTGTGAAGGACAGAAAGAGGCTGTGTAAAAAGTACCAATAAGTTATTCAAAGCATCGAACCATATTTTTTATTATTATATTTTTATATCATGTAAAATAAAGAAAAACTTATAAATTTTCGTTCAGTTATGTCTTTATTTTTACCATACTATGTGTACCGAAAAGCAATGTGGTCATCAGTGGAGGACAGTAGTTGTTGTATTGTTTATCACACGTGCTAATCCTTGCTGATTAAAGACCTTGTATATTGTAGCACAAAAAGGTGATGATTTAATCAATTTGTACACAATTATGATAATTGAGAGTACCGACCTGCACATCAAAGTTGCATTAATTAGACACTGTCCTTTACATGCACATTAAATTAGATAATTAGAAATTGCAATTAACTACACACTCTTTTGATATAAAAAAGACATATTATATCTGTTGATTTATTCTATACTTGAACCAATTCTTCACAGAGACGCAAGCATTTTGTCCGTTTTCGACGCCACCCGTATCAAAAGCCCGGTTACATGACATCTACGGACGGACAATCGACGATAATTGCACCAAGAACCCACGGTAAAAAACCAGGTCAACGAAAAAGAAAAATTAACACTCGGACTGTGACAGTGAAGAAACCCAAGACGGGATAAATATCAATGCATAAATATATTATAGATGACCGCATAAGTAAGTTCGAGTGTGTCTTAAGATGTCATTTATGCTCATCAGGCTATAGTCTAGCCCATACTCGAACTTATATACTACAACACAATATATTATGTATTGATATTTATCTATTACCGATGACATTGACATGACATTCATTTTTGTTGTCATGAATTGCAAATTTTTCATACGTACGTTGCAAACATTTTTTTCTTCTTCACAGTGCCTGAAAATTTATGTTTGAAAAAATATGTTGAACATAAATATAAAGTATCAATATCAATGTATATTATATAAAATTTATATCACGACCGCAATAGTAGGTTCGAGTGTGTCTTAAGATGTCATTTATGCTCATCAGGCTATAGTCTAGCCCATACTCGAACTGAAATGGATTTACCATAATATAATATGCATTGATATTAATATTACATAAAACTGATTTTTACTGCTTAAACCTGAAAGTAACGTCAATTACCTCTAAAGATCAATAGAATATAAATTTTAGTACTAACTTCTCCTAGAAAAAAAAGTAGATTGTACCTGTCTTAACGCATACATGCGATTTATTTCAAATTTGTACTGTCTACTCTATCTTCGGCGGACATGTTATGACGTCATCGTAAAAAATCGATTCCGTGAAAGCTGGTAGTAGCTACCAGTGTGTCTAGCAGGTAAGTGTGGGTTACGCATGAAGATTAAATTAAACGAAATATCGGGGGAAATAAATCTATTCATTATTTTTAATAAATGTGTGCATTATTAAATACTATTGAAAAGTATCATTGTATTTAACCTAAAATGCAATGGTTGCAAATAGGCTCTGTACAAGTACTGTTGTTTAATATTTTTTAAATATTTTAATACATATACTCATCATTTATCAATTTGTGGTTTGCCTTCTTGTTTACAGCTAATGACTGCCAAATGTCACTCTCGGATAAAATACTGACTTCATTTATACATGCATATTTATATGACAATTAAGAACGTAAAAGAAATATTGAAGGAAACTATTTGAAATACACTTCAAATTATTCAGTATTTGTACAAATAATATTTCAAGAGCTTTTTTTCACCGATTGCCGATATATAATACCATATTAAACCTATTGATAAAGTTAAATGTCTTCTTGACATACTTTATTAATTTACTAAAAAGGACTTTATTGTGACCCAGCCATATGCTGTGTAACTATAAAGGAAAGGGTCACATATTTTAATTGAAATAAATTTTAAGTAGAGGATATTAAAAAAAAAGTCATTGAGAAGATCAGAATTTTCAAATGAACAGATTAAGAGACTTATAAATGTATAAGGTGTATGTCTTGTTGTTTCATACTGTTTTGGTGACACTTTTGTTTGTGTCCCTTGTTGTTTTCTCGTCCATGGTAAGTTTCTTCTCTTTTCCCCTAGTTTTATTTCTTTATTTCGCCCCCTCCCCCAAATTTCCTATTCCCTTCTCCTGTGTCCGTTAACTTAGTGGTCCTGTTTCATACTGTTTTGGTGACACTTTTGTTTGTGTCCCTTGTTGTTTTTTCGTCTTTGGTAAGTGTCTTCCGTTTGCCCCTAGTTTTATTTCTTTATTTTGCCCCCTCCCCGAATTTCCTATCCCCTTCCCCTGTGCTCGTTAACTTAGTGGTCCTATTAATCATTCATTTATTTATTTTCTTTGATTTCCTTCTCAGTTACATTTTAGTGATAAGCCTGACCGTGCTCTCCCTTGCGCCCTTTCCCGTTTTAATTTAGGATCCTCCTGGGCTCCTTGCCAATGGTTCATGTTCCTGGGTCGTGTGGGGTTTGCGTTCATTAAACGCCGCCTTTCCTTGTTCATCTTGTTTATCATATTGTATACATGTATACCGAACCGTAACAAACAGATAATGATTATCAATACAAGGTTCGGCAAGCAAGCAAAGAAATGTAAAGAAACAGAAAAAAACTTATCCACATTCATGTATCCACCCTCCAAAAAAACCCACCAAAAACGCCTGAAACTGCAAAATCGAAACATAAATACACAGGAGTGCCAAAGACGGCTCTGGTAGGTTCAAGTGCTCCCTTTCGCCGGTTTAAACAGAATTGATCACTTAAACATAATAATGTTGAAATTTTTAATCAACATCCACAGATGTGTACATAATACGGCGGTAATCATGGAACTTTCAATGTGACACATTCGAGGTGCCGTTCAACGGGAACTAGATAACATGGAATTTTTAATGGGTATCAGAGGTTTTGGTGCCTTTTGCGACAGTCGTTCCAACATTTCTTCCATCTGTCTTACATTTTTATGCTATTCAACATCTAAATAACGGTCACTAAATTTCCGCTTGCTGTGTTTTTATCATAAACCCCGTCAAATCTGTGCGACAATTGTATTTTACTGAGGACTGTCTGAAATTCCATTTTATAGTTTGAAATTTTTAGATTTTTTTTTTCAGAGTTTTAAAGTTATTTTTGGTTGTTTTGAACTTCTTCCCATACACAACCGTCCTCAATTTCTTTTAAAGATAATAAACTAGAAATTGATATGGAGTGTAATATAAATTGAAATTCTTTTTTGCTTCATCATGTATAGTATAATTATAATTCATTAAGATGTACCTACAATTACATTGTATTTTCGTATGTGGGAAATCATGGCAGGGTTATAAAATAAAAAGGTAGTTCAGAAATTTCACCTAATGATCACAGATGTTAAAAAATCCTACTTAATAATATCTAATTTGACAATTTAAACGGACTTAAATGCAGTATGATCTGACATCGGACATCATAAACTATTTAATTTCTAAGTAAGGTTATCATAATTACCTTTACACATTCTCTTTTTAATGCTGAAATATTTGTGTGTGAATAAAAGAGTTATTCCTGCAATAATTCATATAAATAACATAAACAAATTGTATCATAAAGTGGCAAATACAATCGATTGCCGCCGATACCTGTGTTACACCATGGATTTTACCAGTGTTTACAATTTTACCATGACACCGCTTTCCAATATGGCCGCTTTCAATAATTTTCAACGATTAAAAAAATTAAAGTGGAATATTTAGACTTCTGTTCGACTTTGAAGTATGATAATTTGGAACCTTGCATAAAAAACGATTCTCTTTCAGGTAATGTAGACCGTTTCTTTGAAACTTTTCTAGTTTTCGCTCCCAACAACTTCTAATTGGGAAGCGTCCGTGCATAAAACTGCAGTTCGTGGTTGGACTTGGAAAAAGACAGCGCCCGTCCAAAATTATCTCGGTGTCTCTTTGACAAGTCTAATTAGTTGGACTACCCTTGAATAACTTTTATTTTCAATCACATTATTGTTTTTAACTGTAAGCTGTACTGTATAGTAACTACAATGTTGTGAAATAGATTAGCCACATGTGTCTCAAAATGGGTTAGAACTATTGACTAGCAGAACAGGCATTTCTTCAAAGCATGTTCAACTATCAAGGGTAGTCCTATAAATGTGACGTCCTTTGATTTTGAGATATTTTTGCTTTTGGGCAACCTTGACCGACATATAAGCAATAACAAGCCCGTAAGTCTGATATGTTGATCTACTATCCAGGGTTGTCAAATCTTCAAAGAAATAAAGTAGAAAAAATAAAATGTTGTCTGGAAAATCGCACAAAAATTAATATTTTTGTCTCATTTGAATCATTTCTGCAGTAAAATTTCAGCATTTCACGATTTGAAAAATAATCATGGACAATAACATTAATTGTGCTGGAAACGTTAGATAATTCTTATTGACAACCCTTCTTCCTTATAAGCAGTGCAGCAATTCATGTATTGTAATTGGTTTGAATAGTCAAGATTTTAGGCCATATGGTACAAGTATGCTATATTTTCAATTACAGAAATAAATCAATTTCATCGTCATCATGTGTTGCAATACCACTACCAGGGACATCAAAGATGACCTGGACTTCAGTGTATATGCAGAGGAGAGTAAGTACACCATTTTTGTTGAAAGTGCCAGGTTATAATAATACCTTTCAAAATTGCTATATAACTATATACTTGCATACTAATTTACTTAAATAATTCATATAAAAACTGATTAATCTTAAATACTGCTGAATTCATGTTTTTTTTTATTAGTTTATTGAACCAATTAATGGATATATACATGTCAACATGTGATCCATATATATCATGATCAGATATTCATATGATTTAAAAATTAAACAATAATGACATTTTTTAAGTGGCATATAATACTGTATTAGAAGAAGATAAAAAAAAACATGCATTACATGGTTAATTTTGGTCCAATTGAAAGATTTTGGTGTCATCTTAAATGATGAGTTTGATATTTGTATGACTCCATAATATTATTATAGGTAATTGTTCACTGAGGTGAAAAAATAATAGAGTAAATTGAATAAATTCAAAACTGGAATTGGGGCCAGTGAATTCAAAATCTTAAATTCAATGACTGTGAAAGCAATATTTTTTTAAGTTATATCCCTTTTAAACAAAGAATTTTTAATAGACTGGTGTTAGCACTGCATGCAATACTGCTGTATTTGTTTTTAATAACAAGGGCAGATTCATGTCCTATAGTAAATGTTGGTGAAGACTGAATATATATACAATTCTTATGTAGAATATGTTTTTGCTAAAATGAAAAGGAATCCAACAATTGATTTTTTTTCTTCTAAATCTTAAGCAAGTTATGGTTTAATCTTCAGGTAGCACTAAAGAAAGCCAATAAAATCCTTTTGGAGTTGAATTGAGACACAACCATTCATTTCTGGTTTAGTTATAAAACTGCTACAGACTATAAACTATTCATGGTAAGTAAACAATTATAGGTCTTAAATCCACTTGTGAAAAAATATATGACAGAACCAACATAATGGTTTTGCAACCAGCGTGGATCCAGACCAGCCTGCGCATCCGCGCAGTCTGATCAGGATCCATGTTGTTCGCTTACAAACCCTATAACAAGTAGAGAAACTGATAGCGAACAGCATGGATCCTGATCAGACTGCGCGGAAGCGCAGGCTGGTCTGGATCCATGCTGGTCGCAAACGCACTATGTTGGTTTTGGCGTGACACTGCTCATATATGGTTTTTGGAAAGGATTCTGTTATGTAGTCAATTCTCAGACCATACAACAAAATAGTTACAGATTCCTCAAAAGTGGAGTATACTTTCTTAGTTACAATCAAACATCATGAATTACTAATTTCTAGCTTCTTTTTTTTTCAAAGCTATTACATTCTTTGTCAGATTGCTATGTTGGCATACAATTGCATTAATTATTAGCTCGACTATTCGTAGAATAATCGAGCTAATGCAGTCACCCATTTGTCGGCGTCGGCGTCGGCGTCCCTGTGGTTAAGTTTTTGTATGTAAGCTGGTATCTCCATAACTACTGAAGGGAATGGATTGAAACTTCACACACTTGTTCTCTGTGATTATCTAAGATGATTGGCACAAGTCCCATAACTCTGATTTGCTTTTTTACATAATTATGCCCCTTTTTCGACTTAGAAATTCTTGGTTAAGTTTTTGTATGTAAGCTGGTATCTCCATTACTACTGAAGGGAATGGATTGAAACTTCACACACTTGATCTCTGTGATTATCTAAGATGATTGGCACAAGTCCCATAACTCTTATTTGCTTTTTTACATAATTATTCCCCTTTTTCGTCTTAGAAATTCTTGGTTAAGTTTTTGTATGTAAGCTGGTATCTCCATAACTACTGAAGGGAATGGATTTGAAACTTCAAACACTTGTTCTCTGTGATTATTTAAGATGATTGGCACAAGTCCCATAACTCTGATTTGCTTTTTTACATAATTATGCCCCTTTTTTGACTTAGAAATTCTTGGTTAAGTTTTTGCATGTAAGCTGGTATCTCCATAACTACTGAAGGGAATGGATTGAAACTTCACACACATGTTCTCTGTGATTATCTTAGATGATTGGCACAAGTCCCATAATCTGATTTGCTTTTTTACATAATTATGCCCTTTTTCGACTTAGAAATTCTTGGTTAAGTTTTTGTATGTAAGCTGGTATCTCCATAACTACTGAAGGGAATGGATTGAAACTTCACACAATTGTTCTCTGTGATTGTATTGAAACTTGAAGGGTTTGTACCTTTTCGTACAATTTTATGTATTCATATAAGTAAGCATTATTATACTCAATGAAACACCCTTGTGACAAATTTTCGAATAGTCGAGCGTTACTGTCCTCCGACAGTTCTTGTTTAAATATTTTGAAATGTATCAACATGAAACTTGAAAGACTTGCTTATCAGGACAAAGTGTAATTGTTAAACAGGGGAGCATACATGTTCTTATGAAAGCAGTCATTGAATTTAGCACTGGCCCGGTGGCCCATGGCCAGTGAAAATTAGTTTGGGCCAGTGTAAATTTTAAGAAAATGTAGTTAATTTTAACTTAAATATATAGTATAATAAATTCAAAACTGGAATTGGGGCCAGTGAATTCAAAATCTAAATTCAATGACTGTGTGAAAAGCAATTTTTTTAAGATATACCCCTTTTTAAACAAAGAATTTTTAATAGACTGGTGTTATCACTGCATGCAAATACTGCTGTATTTGTTGTTATTAACAAGGGCAGATTCATGTCCTATAGTAAATGTTGGTGAAGACTGAATATATATACAATTCTTATGTAGAATATGTTTTTGCTAAAATGAAAAGGAATTCCACAATTGATTTTTTTCTTCTTCTAAATCTTAAGCAAGTTATGGTTTTTTAATCTTCAGGTAGCACTAAAGAAAGCCAATAAAAATCCTTTTGGAGTTGAATTGAGACACAACCATTCATTTCTGGTTTTAGTTATAAAACTGCTACAGACTATAAAAAACTATTCAGGTAAGTAAACAATTATTATATATTTGATTTTTGTTGAATGTTTGATATTTTTAATATGATTATTCTGTTGCTCAAAGAAAATATTTAGATAAAATTCTAGATAGCAATACATAATTGTCATTTGTTGCAAGAAAATTAATGCATTGTAAGATGTTTTGATGCATAATGAGGAATACTTCATAGGTTTATGGTAAGCATTTTATATGTAAAATAAATGTGAAATGCTTAAAAAAGTAATGTTTCATAAAACTTGTTGAAGGCTGACTTCTTTGCCATTTTTTAATGCATGCTTATTTGTCTTGGATATTTTATTTCAGGGAATAATATATTTTAGTGTCTGCATCAATCTTATAGTTATTGCAGCATGATGGATTACTGTTTTCAGATGATGGAATACACCAATTGCCTAGTACAAATCATGGCCCATTAGAACCAGAACAAACCATGGCTGCAAAGGAAACAAGATGCACATAATCTGAAATACCTGGCTGGTGTTCTGAATAAGATGACATAATATCTCAACTGCAGGTATGTTCTCATCAGGTACAATAAAAAGAAATTTTATATTAACAGGGTTTTCCCCCTGGGGCAATTTTAGGTTTGCACCACCAGATTGGCCAATCAAAAAAGTTGAAGCCAATGGCTCCAATGTTGGAACCATTAATTCTGCAAAGGAGATATGTCTATATTTGTTAAGATATGCTAGCAGTTTGGAGTGAAATTTTAAAAAGGATTTATTTTCTAACTGGAAAGGAGTATATGTCCTGATTAATACAAAGCTCATATGTCTATTGATTATAGAATGTTCAAATAGTTACAGCACCTTTTTTATGTTAACGCAAATGGACCTACAACCATTATGTATAAATTAATTGGCACCTTTATTGCACTTATCAATTGAAGGATAGAGCTGTGTAAAATCTTTTCAAAGATAATTATTTACATACAGAGATTTATATATATATCTAGCATATGAATATGTTAATGTTAAAGGGTTTTTTCTTACTAAAATCATTTTAAATGAAAATATCTTTCCCATTATTTGTATTCATTTTTAGAAGTACAGTTGGCATGTAGGGGTTTCAACAGCACATCTTGATGTATTGTACCAAAAGATTTGCTTACACACCACCTGTTTATAGGATGCACAATCTTCTTGCAGCCATAGATTATAATATACATGCAAATAGACCATACATCACCAACAAGGGGGATCTGTTAGGTATAGCTACTTACAAAACTTCAACATGTAATGTTTTCACAATTTACTCAGAATGAAAGAAAACAGTGTCCAGTTTGTGCTTAATAAAGTGAATGTTTGGCAACTATAATAATGTTCAACATAGATGTACTCTGTACTGAGTCTAATATGGATGTAGCATGTTTCTTTGTTTATTTCAGTAGAAAGATTTCAGTTCTTCAAACATATAAAGAGGCAAAACCTAAATAAAATGTTTTGCTTTATCTTCTTTGGGCATATAGATTCTCAACATTTTTTTTTTCATTTTTTAGCTCGACTATTCGATAAGAATAAGTAGAGCTATTGCAGTCACCCGAGCGTCGGCGTCCACGTCGGCATCGGCGTAACCACTTATGTTAAAGTTTTTGTAATAGTTCAAATATTTTCAAAGTCCATTGACATATGGCTTTGAAACTTTGCACACTTGTTCACCATCATGACCCCAACCTGTAGACAGGAGGAGGTAACTGTATCAAGCATTTTGACAGAATTATGCCCCTTTTTCGACTTAGAATTTACGTTAAAGTTTTTGTAATAGTTCAAATATTTTCAAAGTCCCATTGACATATGGCTTTTGAAACTTTGCACACTTGTTCACCATCATGACCCCAACCTGTAGACAGGAGGAGGGTAACTCTATCAAGCATTTTGACAGAAATATGCCCCTTTTTCGACTTAGAATTTACTTTAAAGTTTTGTAAATAGTTCAAATATTTTCAAAGTCCATTGACATATGGGCTTTGAAACTTTGCACACTTGTTCACCATCATGACCCCAACCTGTAAACAGGAGGAGGTAACTGTATCAAGCATTTTTTTTACTATCAAGCACTAAGAATAGTCGAGCGTTGCTGTCCTACTGACAGCTCTTGTGCATATGAATATAAATGCTGCATATCTTAGTATTAAATGTTCCTGCCTCTATGAATTATAAGATATTTTTATTGAAAGTGTGATCACTATGCATTTATATTGCCTATATAATATTAATTTCAATCAAAAGAGATTTTGCCGTCTCTGACCTGACCTGACTAATAAATTTTGAGGACATAATTACATGTAATGCATTTTGAGAATTGTATACACTTATGATTTTTGTTATAACAGGCTTGTTAATTTCTCATTTCAGACTTCAGCGAGTCTGGATGAATTAAAGAAGAAGTAAAAGTATCATTATATGGATACCATTTTACATGATGCTATAACTCTGAGAATTAGTGACAGGGAGGGGATATATAAAATAGAAAGTTAAAGGAAGATGACCCCCACAGACTTTCAAGACTTTCAAAACATTTGGCCCAAGTTAGCCCAAAGCCTACCCGAGCCATTCATGAGGAACATAAATCAAGATATGAATGACTTTTTATGGAAAAGAATGATAAATAGTGTATTACACTGATTGCCCAACTATTCAAACATATTTAAGCTGACATTGAATACCTGGTACTCATGATAGTTTTATGAAATATCTTTTTAGATATGGGACTGTATCTATCTTGTTTCGAAAAAAAATTCTCTTGATTCATTTGTCATGACTCAAGGTCTGTTTTGAATATTTTGTCAGAAAAAATGACTACTTTTTATACAAGTGCAAAATATTATCCGATCTATTAAACTATAAGTGCTGCTATGAGCTTTAATGTAGTAAAAAAGTTAAAAGTATTATTCAATTATATCTTTTGATATACATGTACTATGTCATTCACTTTAGCTCAGCTTTTTTTTTTTGAAAAAAAAAAAGAAATAGAGGTTGCTGCTGTTGCCTTCTGCAAACTTGAACCTTGTTCATAACTTTTAAAGTTCTTGGTGTATTGTCTAACCTTGGCCTTCATTCATAATTGACCTTCAAGGTTAAATGTCTAAATTTTGGCTTTGCTTGTTATTTGCTATTAGTGGCTTTAACTTTATTGCCCTTTGTTAATTTTCATATTTCATTTTTGTCTTGGCCATTTCTCCTAAACTATATTGTTCACAAGGCAACACATCCGACTCGCGGAGATCTAGTTGTTATTAGTCCATGACTCGCGGAGATCTAGTTGTTATTAGTCCATGAATTGTAGTTACTCAAGAAGTATTTGACCTAGAGCAATGAAACTTTACAGGAATGTTGAACATTATGTGTAGTTGTGCACCTGGGTATTTTCGTCTGGATTTAGTATTTTGAGAGTTATGGCCCTTGACTTAGTAAAATTTTGCATGGTTTTCAACTTGTGTCGAAACATGTAACTCAAAAGGATTTGACATAGAGTCATTAAACCTTTACGGGATAGGTTTTGCTCAGCATATTTTAGTTTTTGCACCTGGGGTTGGCTTGTGGATTTTATCCCAGTATTTGTAGAGGTTATTTTCCCTTGACTTTGTAAAAAAAACGTATCATGTTGTTATTTTGTTCCTTGAGTGCTTGAGTGGAGAATCAACCAACTTTATAGGAATAATGATCAACATCACTAAATTACAGGAATATATGATTTACATCACTGTGTGAAGCTATGAACCTGGGACTTTCATGTGGATTTTTTTCAGTTTTGTTAGAGTTATTGCCCTTGACATTAGTAGTATAAAATTACAATTTTTCAACTTGTTCATGCATAGCTCAAAAAATATTTAATGTTTTCTTTCATTTCATTCAGCCAAACATAAATAATTTATCATTTAACTCCATAATTTAATATCCTAGCAGGGATAAAAAATATAAATAAGAAAGACAATATAGGAGTGGCTACTACAGGTTCACTTTAATTTATCGAATAATTTACAATTTTCAACTTGTTCATGCATAGCTCAGAAAGTATTTTCACTTGTAGGCCTGAATGTTTAAAAGAATGTTGGTCAGCATATGTACTTATGCAACCTTGGGGTTTACTTGTGAATTTATTCAGTATTTGTAAAGTTCTTGCCTTTACTTAGTAAAAGATTTTTAGTTTTCAAAAAAATATTTGACCTAGAGTCATAAGATTGACAGAACAGTGGCGCGTAGGGGGGACCCGTGTCCTATGGAACATTCCTAGTTATTCAAAATGTTTGTCTTGTTTTTATTTTTTCATTAAAATTATAATGTAGTTCAAACAAATTGTGAATGCATGAAAAGCATCTGTTTTACTTAAAATTTAGAACCATATTTTCAGTTTCAAATCATACAAATATCCCAACATTTGTATATATTTACAATTAAAAAAATCACGAGACAGTTAAAAAGATGTCATTCTCATTGACACTCTGATTTCATTTTAGTAAACAAATCCTGGGCAATAAGATATTTTAGGTAGCTGTGCTATTTGTAGGAAGGTCGCAGGAGTGGGGAACAAACAATATTTTACATTTAGGGGTAAGCCTAAGTTCTTAGGCTTGGTAGGAACATTGCTCTTCCCCAGATAATGGCACCAACTGATAAGGTAATTAGATTTAAAGCTCAAGATGGCATAAAGTTTAACTTCCTTTAAATATGTGTAACATTGTAAGGTATAGTTTATGTAACTCAGAAGGAAAAATTCTGATTGCCATTAGTTTTAAGATTGGTCCATTTGATTATAAGTTCAAGGTCTCAGTGACATGTAAACTTCATTGTCCCAAGGTTTTTGAACATTTCCAGGGACATTGCTTAGATTAGTAATTAAGCATTAGTTTGGAGTTAATAAGGTCTAAGGTCACAATGCTTAAGCATAATATCATTCATCACCAGAAACCCATAAGGGGTTAGCTCAAGTTCATACAATTTGGTTGGAATTAAGAATATTGTTTATTTCCTTCTACAATATTGGCCATCTTCACACTTTCTCTTCCTGTTAAGACAGCATGGATTGAATAAAAAATAAAACTATAACTGTAAAGAAGTCACTGTTGCACAATTTTAAGAGTAAGAAAAAAAAAAAAGAAGATATGCTGTTCATTTGAAAATATTTTATTGTTGTTTTACTGCCAATGTTCAAATACATGTTTCAATTTATCTTTGTTTTTGTTATTTTAACAACATTTCAAAATGTGTCCTGAAACGTGCTAAGAGAAGTGGAGTGTAAATTAACATTGAAAGTTATTTGTAAAACATTGTTACAATCTGTGATCTTATTTGAATTTTAAAAAAGTACATTAAATTTTGACATCAGAAAATAGAGAAATAAAGAATTCCTGCAGAAAGCCAAAATGACAAAATTGAAACTGTTGCAGGCTCTATTTTTGTGAGCCTGTTGGAAAGTGCAAGTTACCTTCCATGCCCCCCATAGCACGAGCTTTAGCAGAATTCAACATTTTGAACATAAAGTGGTGGAAATTTATGGTTTTATGCCATACCGGTGTACATAATCCAGAGATTAGGATTTAATTCTTGGCAATCTTATTTCAGTGGAATGCAACTGTTCATTGTTAACAGAATAATATTTACACAGTTTGCCACTGTGTTTGTATTGGAATGAAATTCTCATTAGTACATTATTTTCCATAATGTGCACTTTTACAAAAGGCCAACATAAAAATCAGGTATTGAGTGATCATTTTCAAAATTGTAGGCATCAGAACTTTAACTTGGTCCTTTTTCCATTCTTGTTTGCTTATAAATTGAAGTATAATTATACATTATCATATATCAAACGGTTGAGTCTGTAGATGTTAAATATGTATTGGCTTTTGCATGCAGTTGACTGGTTATTTAATCTGGTAACACTCTATACAGGTTATTACACCAGATTGCCAAATTATATTTCTTTTCATTATAATTTCCTAACACAGACACTTTGGGTTTGGAGCTCAAAACGCCTTTAAAATCAAAAAAAAAAAAAAAAAAAAAAAAAACTTAATATAAGCCGTTTTGAAAAAAAATCATATTTCAACATCTATAATATAATACAGATTGAGCACCAAAGCCCAAGTGTCTGTGTTTCATAATATTTACATGACGCACACTACTGTATGCCATATTACTACGATGGAAGCTTGGCAATAGGTACGTATTATTTCTGGTACGAAGCGATCATAAAGAACGGCTAATTTACCGATTTCAAATAACCACAGCAACCGTACGACATAGACATGACCAACGCTCCATCTTCTTGTTTACTGTAGATCAAGTGAGAGTCTTCGATTTTGTTCTTTTTCCGATTGTTTCGTAACGCGTTACGAGGATATAAGCTACATTCTTTAGCTAATAAATAGCTTTTCATATCGTTTATTAATTACAAAACATAAAATAAAATTGCATCCCTCATTTACATTATATCTCCGCAAGTTTGTTGACGTTTCTAATTATAGCGTTTCCGAACTTGTTTCTAATTATAGCATTTCCGAACTTTTCCGTATGCAAATGAGTAAATTCCGAATGAAACCGATCGGGCCCGAGAGCTTTTACAAATGGCGGGGATTTCAAAAACTGGCGATATTATATCCAGTTGCATCCGAGTGTTTCGGCGAAATAAGATTAAAATTGTATAGCAGTTCATCATTAATGAGGATATACTTATGATTTAGGTGATAATTTCTGAAAACTAAGTTGTAGGGTAAAATATCATCGTTGAACGGTATTATAACTTTAATGTGTCAGGATCTGATATTCGTGTAAATATCAAGAGCATAGATACCTCGGAAGCTAAGGAGGGGACTGTACGAGATGTCATTGACAAAATACTAACATCAGCTGAGGCCAATGGACAGGGGATAATTGCTATACCTCCATTAATTAGAGAAAGGTAACAAAAAAACAACATTTAAATTACAGTGAAAATCGATTATATAAGGTCGTATGGGCTTTATCGTTTAAGTCTGATGATGTACGTAATGGCGTTATTAAACACTTAATTCTAATTATCGCATTTATTTTATTATTTTATTGAAGATACCTTTATATATTTGAAAGCCAATGTTCATAAAACAACCATTCGTTCCTCTTATTTCAAATAATCAATGCACCAGGGACTAAACAGCGCCTACATTTACTTGCCGCTGGGACGACTACATTTACTTGCTCCTGTGGTGTAATTCAACGTTACTAGTATATTATGTCCCGAAATAAACGTTCTGTGCTTAATAAACACAATATCGAATAAAAAGCAAGAAATGGTCTATATCTGTAAATATACATTTCTTTTTCAGTTGTCTGATCGAATGGGAAGCAAAGGAGATTTTATACACCGTTTACGATTACTTTTTAAATTCTGACAATATTTGTGAAAATTGTTGTACTGTGGACAACTCGACCATCTGTGAGGAATGTGGAGGTGGAAGCAAACTAAAGACAATAATTATTGTCTTACCTAGTTATGATAAGAGAACTGTTATCTCATATAGAAAAGTTTTTGAAGAGCTCAAAGAAAAATACTAAGTGATAAAATCAGTTGTATAAGCGTGACTAATAGATATATATTTTTTATAAATTTATTTTTCTCTTTGCAATTAAACAATATTTTCTGAATATCTTTACATATATTTAAAGTTACATTTAATAAATTTCATAAAAAACTAAATAGCGACATTGCATTAATAAATTCGGTTTTATATCGACTCCAGGTCTTATTTTGGTGTCCAAACAACCAAAATGAGTTTTATAAAAATAGGTAACCTCATTGTGGCGAAATGGGAAATACAATTTCCGTTTGCATGAGAAACTCCGCCTTCGGATCATCCGTACATCAATATTAAATCAACAAACATGACTATAAGTGGCAGTCCTAATTTAACGGTATATTTCCGCATTGTAACGGATGTTTTCATACAAATTTAATCTTTTTACGAGATTATTACTTTTACTGAACCCCAGGTTTAGTGCACCGTGAAGCTTAAACGGTTAAAGTGTGTTTGCACAAGAAGATATCACATTTGCTGTGTTCCGGATAGCAACTATAAAACTATGACGTAGCGCATACACGAGCTCATTATAGTCTTCATTTGCATGTTAAAATTCGTATACGAACTTTAGTGGTACCGTGGGGTTTCCCGTTTAAAATCCTAATTTATGAACAATATTTGATGAGATTTACAACAATACTATTAAACAGGTTAATGAAACTGTAGAATGTTTGATTTTTAGGCCGACGGCAAAATATCTTTACATATTTATTTAATGTAACTTTAAAAAGCAAAACATGTGATAAACATTATAATAAACCTGGGAAGACTGAATAGTAAGAAACTCTAGTCTGATTTACTGTAAGTCAATCACACAACTATAAAATGAATGATAATATAAAAATAATATGCAAGATTTAAAAAGCAAAAATTAGATGCAGAAAACACCATACAAAATCCTACTCAGTAAATTTAATAGTTCTTATAACCACGTACAGCAGAATATAACTGAAAGATTATAACCATATAAAATGTAAGTTCAAATATGGAAAGAAAAGTTCATTTGTTACATTAGGGGGCTCCAGCATTTCCACTGAACATGAACCTCCTGCATTTCTGTAATGGATTTTCCCAGGTTTGAATTTGAAACAGTCCAATCGAATATCAAAATACAGTATATTTACAAACATTATATTTTTAATAGACCCTCTGTTACCAACAACCTAAATGTTCAAACAACTTCAAAGTATAACTTATAATTAAAGTATCTTTGAAATAATAATGTTTATTATATCTAAATTATTGTACATTAATATTAAGTAAACACTGATAAAATATCCATTTTCTTCTTTGTCATTATAAAAATATAAAAATAGATTATTATTTTTATTATTCCAGGCAAAAGCAGGCGCCAAAGTAGAACCAACTATTTTCCGTTATCTAGCCTGATTTTAGAATCCAGAGTTTGTAATGGGATTTGAACCCAAAGCACAGAGAGGCAAATGGCTTAAAATCAACAACCTTGACATTTCGGCCACAGAGTTTCCTAATTAGTAACTCACCTTATATCTTCAAGATAAAATAAATTTTAACATAAAACTTTACCTACCACAATAATTCCTTTCCGGTTTATTATTTTCATATCAGTTTCTAGGTTTACATTTGCTAGCATCTCTATTATAAGGTCTGGACCGACACCACCAGTTGCTTCCTAGAAAAAAGCACTATCTTTATCAATTAAAGCTTTTCTGGTAACAAATTTGCATAGGCTAACAAAACTTTTAAAGTTTACCTTGTATCTATAGTCCGAAAATAAATTACCTAACTGATAAAGCATTGCTTTGAACTTTCGTTTAAAAATTGAGTCACCTTGCATGCAGTATCTTTTCAAATGGAAAAAAAGATAAATGACTCAAAAGTTAAGCATGTATTTACATAAAGTTAACTCTGTGCTTAAAAATAACTTAATAGTTTCTATGTATTTTGCTCATACAATATAATAATTTTCAAACAAGAGGGTAATCACTTTGTCAATAATCAAGTCATATTAAGCCTCATAAGGGAATTTGATACCTTTGTAGAAAGAGCAAAACTTCTTATACAATGTTTTAATCGATTTAGAGCATGTTAAATTCTTATCAAATGAGGAAAGTATGTGGAATCATTTGTCATAAAAGTTTGAAAACATTGTAGGATAGTTCCGTATATAAAACATGAAACTTTTTTCAGTTGTACACCGTTCTATACAGGTCAAATCATTGTTCCTTTTGCTCATGTAAGTTGTATACCACTATTTTATCTGCGTATCCCTCTTCCCTATGGTTGAACACTGCTGTTGCACCTTGTTTGAGCACCAGATCTATACCTCCAGTGAAACTGTTGTACTATACACTTTCATACACTTTGATACAGCTATCTGAACACAAGCTAAACTTACCTGGAAAAAAATAACAACTTGAAATAATTGTTGGATAGGTCATATAAATGGCTGGAGTAACGTTAAATGATCTCAATATATATTTTAGAAATATAGTGAAATATAAGTACATGCCGGTACTTTTCTTATTTATTGACGGAATTTCCAACGTTCCATGTTAATTTCTTTGAGTAAGAAACACAAGTGCTTTACAGGTTATAGGGTGACTTTCAAACATAACTGATATAGAATGACTAACGTCTGATACCATTCTAAGGTTTCATATTGTCCAAGCATGTGCAACATTAATAATACCATATTCTAAGACAAATGTTGCTAATCAATACAATAAAATACAATAAAATCTCTTTATAAATTTGTATAACTTTAATTAAGAATATTTAATATAAAATGTCACGTGGTACAGACACTGTAATATTGTTCAACAATATTGACCTGGCACTTCATTAAATATCGTAAAGGTCATTTGATAAACACTTGTTGACTTCACACGTCACTGAGGTGTGGTGCATTGGTACAGATATCGGGTTATTGATATGCATGTCTATGGTTCTAATTCTAACCAACCCCATGCTCTAAAGAAACACTTAATATTCAAATTTACTTTTAAAAATTACTTTTAAATAATTCTACTACATCTGATTTAGGACCCTTTTAAAGAGTGTTTTTTTCATACAATTATATATACATATTTTTTTCTTTACCTTTAATAAAAAGTACAGCGCATTTATACAAATAAAAGATACCTCACAGATATCACGCACAGACACAACGGTTTGCACATTTTAAAGAGAATGACAATTTCAAAATTAGAATAGAAAAAAAGGAAAATTGGCTGAATCAAGATTCGAACCTACAAGTTACGTCTACGAGGGATTCTTAATTTAGACCTTTAATACAACTGCTAATATTTTAAATAAGTTCGTAATGTTCACAGTATTCACCGACTAAATGGTCAAATGCAATAGTGCAAGGTCATTGTTGTTGGACAATATTGATAGGTATATTGCACTAATCTGTCTATTTCTAGATTTTATAGGCTGCTGAGCACGATATGAAACGCAACATATCAATATTTTAGATACGTTACATTTGGGTGCGGCTAACTAAATAGTACATTTTGTTAGTTATATTTGGAGGCACATATCGTTTTAACCCATAATACTATGTTAAATATGTATTCAATATATATATATATAATGTTAATATCCAATGATTATATTTCACAAATCTTAAATAATACGAAATTGAATTTTACTTACATTAGAACAAATGAAAATAAGCGCATAAAGATGATCGTGCTTATATAAATTGTACCATTAAAGAAAATGTATTTTCCTTTTTTTTGTGTGTGTATTATAAATGAATTGTATAAATATCTTTTAAACAAAGTCAATTTATTTATATTAAACTACTATGGTGGCATATTTCTGATACCAGATAACCTTATAACTAACTAGTTAATTAAGAGGTTAACTAGTTACGTAACTAGTTAACCTAATAATTAACTAGTTAGTTATCAGGTTAACTAGTTACGTAACTAGTTAACCTCTTAATTAAGTAGTTAGGTATCAGGTTAACTAGTTACGTAACTAGTTAACCTCTTAATTAAGTAGTTAGGTATCAGGTTAACTAGTTACGTTACTAGTTAACCACTTAATTAACTAGTTAGGTATCAGGTTAACTAGTTACGTAACTAGTTAACCTCTTAATTAACTAGTTAGTTATCAGGTTATCTGGTGGCAGAAAAATGCCACCATAAACTACATAACGTACTTGAATTAATGATACTATTTTCAATTTGATAACTATCATCGAGGTCAATATACGTTCCGTACTCTTCACTTCTCTACACTACTAGCGCGGGTAGAAACTAAAACGCTTCGTCACGATAAGATAACTATAGCGCGAACTATTTTAAGTCTTGTTTACACGCTTATACTTGTATCAGTTTAAATAAACTCACAAATGCGGATTATAAATATCATGTCAAATATGTATTTTTTTCTCGAATATAGGCTGTTACTTTTCAGAACAGTTATTTAATGACAATTGTTGGTTTATTTTATTAATAAATGATAAAAAAGAACAAAAAAAAAACTAAATGGTATCAAATATAATTGAGGTCAGTATACGTTTCCGTATTACACGGTCCTTTAAAATAGTAGTTAGATAAGGGAATAACTTGTCAGACCAAGCACGAACAGGTTTTTATTGTATCTCATATATTTGGAGATGTTTTTTTAACAGGTTATGTTATTTCTTCATTGTAAGTTATGTAATGCATGATGCCTCACTGTTTAGCCATGTCAGTAAGAATAGTATAAGGGGTTACACACATGCTATTATGGATATACATATTTACTTGGATATATTTATTAATTTCAATTTAGTACTTAGAGCCTGTGAATCTGTTTTAATAGGTAAGTTATTATATAGTTAAATTTGCTGTTATCATACATTGGAGTTAATTAATGTACTTGTAATGCAACATGTAGACGTATTGAATTTTATTTCTAATCTTTTTTATTTATTTATTCATTTAAAAAAGAAATTATTTATTCATTTCTTTCGTTATTTCTATATATTTTTTTCTTTATTGTTTATTTTTTATTCTTATTTATTTATTCATTTATTTATCTATTTGTATTTATTATTTATCTATTTATTTTTTATTATGCTCTTTTCGCTCTTTTTACATGGTTTTAAATTACATGATCGGATTAGAATATGTGTGTGCTAAGAATGGATAAATTCCGGATAAGCTTTCGTTTTATTGAAGTAAATAGAAGATATTGAATAAGTGTAAGTTCAATACTGAATGTATTGCTCTAGTTGAAAACAAATATATCATGCGAGCCTATGGCAAAAATTATATTATAATATTTAAATAATATTATTATAATAATATTTTATCCAACTGGTTAATGCACTTACGAATTTGATATTCTATTTATCACATACCCAAAATTTAGACATGTAAAATGAAAAAAAGAGTCATTTTTCATTGACGGGCCTTTAGTATAACGCTAACAATAAGCGCATTTTTACACTATGTTTGTATATAAAACGTTAATGACGTCACGTTAAAATATATGCACGGCCGCGCAATATCATTTTTATCAAGTCATTACATTGGTTTTTGTTGATAAAGTGCATGCCTGATAAATCTAGTCTCACCAAGCTTTATCAGACACCTCATCAATACACATTTTGACCTTGACTACTTTTTTTGGTAATTTCCGGTCAACTGTTTACATTGGATACTATAAATACTACATATCGAGGGTTCAAAGGTAAAAGATAATAACTGCCGTTTTCAAGATTTCGACAAAAACGCAAAAAAAAAAACATATTTTTAATACAACTTTATTTTCCGTAATATTGTTATAACAATTTTGATGCTCCCATATTTGTTGACTACATAAGATCATATTTTGTTTAGTTTACATTGCTTGGTGCTGATAAAACACTGTAATTATGTTTTGTTTTAAAGTTCTTAGATCAAAATAATATCATTTTACAGAAGTAAAAGGTAATAAATGTACTTAGATTCTGTCAAGACTACAAGTTTGAGCGGTAAAAGGTGATAACTGCACTTACGACCTTTTACTTCTGACGGGTCACCAATAAAAGTTTGAGATAAATTTTGGTAAAAGGTCATAAGTGCAGTTATAGCCTTGTTCCTCTGAAAAAAATGTAGATGTTGAAGTAATTGTTACTGTTGCAAATTCATTAATTATGTTCTTACTTTGAAGAACCTTACGTAATGTAATTAACACACATGCACAATAATACTCGTACACAAAATTGACAATTTTCATTCATAGAAATATGAAATATGTACCTGCTCAATATTTAGATTCTACAGAAATAAATTGATAACTAAAAAGTTTACGAAAATACGCACTAAAATGTAACTTTACAAATTTTCATTTATTTTGAATGTTCTCTGGTATATAATCGAACTGAAGTCAAACAGACCAAAGACATCAGCAATTAAGGATATTAGTGACCCATATCATAGTTAAGTAAATAAAGACTACTGTTTCATGTCACAGTATGTGAATGTTTGTCATTAATTATTCCATGAAGATCACTCATCTTATTCACTCTCACTTACAGGTTGTCTTTTATAGATTTGCTGCATGGCAATGACTCGTAATATGACTCTTATGTCTTCGGAATTGTCCGAGAGGCAACAAGTGACACCAAATCAGCTTTTTTGCAGCATATATTGAACGTTTCTCAGTATTAGCCTTTCGTGGAGCCTTAAGAGACTTTTCTTTGCTTCTGCTCTTCTTCTGCATTAACATAACTTCCTTGAACTCACTATCATCAAAGACCATAGTTCACAAAAATACTGTGTTATTTTATTTCTTTGTCTTTACGATCTTGAATCCATTTTATATTCAGGCAATTAACACGTTCTCCATCAACAAGCCAAAGTTATGTTCTTTGTACAACTTGTAATCTAGTATGTCAGTGTGCTTTATTAGAACGACAATATATAGATGATTCCAGCGTGCTAATGATAAATTATAACTGTTTCCCACTGAGATGAAACATGTACTTTTGTGACGCTTTTTGCATGCTCGCTAGATGCATGTATGGAATCACATTCCATTTCTGAATGAGTAAAATTGTGGTTTATTCACTTGTTGTGAGGAATATACTAGACACAGTGAACTAAGCATCTTGCAACAAACTGATTGCGATTCTGTTCCCCACATGTATCACTATATAATGTCACTTCTTCCAGAACAGATGTGTTACCAATGCAACAGAAGTAACATACAAATACACACAAGTTCCTACTTCGCACGAGCCTCGTTTCCTCCGTGTCTCAACCCAAAGATAACAAGCCCCGTTACCATTTCCCAGTTCATAGAATGACAAATTGTAACAACACAGTTTCCTTTTGTAATAAAGTTCACCAATTAAAGGAAAATAATGACAAAAATATTAAAATGATCTTATGTACTCAAATAAGGCTAAAATGACGTTTCTTGAAGTATCAGCATAAATGTATGTTTGAATTTTATATATTTTGGGTTTGAAACGTAAATATATCTGTATATGTTGAACAAAATTTAGACGCCAATAGAATCACCAAGTCTTGTGACTTGAACAAACATTTTAAGTTACAATTACAGATATTTTGGATATTGTATGATTGAAACAAGTCAAAAGTAACAAGAATAAAGATCAACAAGGCAAATGCAACGTTCACAGGAAGCTGCCCCCGAACACATCCAAGCAGGACACCAAGAAGGCACCAAACTAAAACCTGGAGTAGATTTTCATTTGACATGTTCTTTTACGTTTCCAGAGTTCACTTTGACAAATATTGCGAAATCATAGCTCTCTAACCTGACCCACGCGAGTCAAGTTAGGAAACCACCATTTTATTCTTTATATGGAGAAAAGTTTTGTTCCATTGACTGTCTTAATATATTCATTTTAAGGGCATTTACAGAATAATGAAAGAAAAATTCAAAACCAAGAAATCAAAATTTTGCCTGTGTCTCCCTTTAAACTGCATGGTGTTTTGCGATATAGCCTGAATATCAAATGCCGATTTTGGATCTTTCTTTGCCCGTTCTTTATCGGCTGATTTTTCCATTCTAGCATTGTTTTTTCTTTCTTGGTGTAGCTGATATTTTGCTTTTGTTGCCTCATCTAGTCTATCTTCTATTCTCGAAGTGTTATACAGAGTGGACATTGATCTTTCTTAGGATGGAAGAAAGACAAATTATATTATGTACAGAAAATGTTTCTGTACACAGCCACTGAAACACACCTTTTTGTCCTTTTTATTTTTCTACATGCAGTGTGTACATTCGTCTTATACTTAAATCTTGCGTTAAATACTTCCTGTTGAAGTCTTTTCGTGTGTAGTGTGATTCAAAAGTCGGAAAGCTTTCGATGTGTTTCTTTACAAATGATCTGTGATATTTCTTTTTTTTATTTCCAGACACAGCTTTCCCTTTCTTGTCATTTCCAACATACAACTCTGCCACTTTGTGCTTAACTGCGTTTGCAACTGTTTTGAGAGTTTTTAGAAAATAGTTCTTTGTTTTCTTCTCTGTTTAGATACCTTCTCTGGTTCTTTATTGGCAGACAAATGAATTGCCTCTTACATTTGTAATCACACATTGACCATTATGTACTGAATATTTTCTATCTTTCATCTTCGGTTATATTCTCGCTGCATTTAAATCTACAAGATAAATTTCTTGGAAAAAGAGATAACAGATAGTGCCTGTGAACTGTATGAATGCAGTATTCTGTCAGAGGAAAAGGGTAATAAAATCAGTTATAACCTTTTTCCACTACAGATTCTTCACAACATGTGGAACAACAAGTAAACAACAGGTTATAAGTACACTTAGAACCTTATACCCCTACATAATTTGTAGAAAAGAAGTTATTACAAAATACTTTTTAATGTTTTGCCCTTATAAGGATTGAATATTTATAAAATATTTTCGCCATACATAAAGAACAATAAGTATATTATAAAAAACATAAAAAGTCGATTTCAGCAAAAATGGCAGTAATAACCTTAAAGTTTTACCTTTGAACCCTCGATATATATTTTGATACGATGGAAATTAAAAACATACAAAAATGGTTACTCTTTTGTTTTCATTTTGTTGTATTGCTAAACACTAAATCTTTTTAATAGATTTTTAAAAAATAGATGTGTTTTTGTCCTTTTACAAAAATGTATAAAATCATAATATTAAAGAGAGAATTTATCAGTTTGTCTTCTGCTATTCTTATTTAATCCAAGATCTGTGTAGTTCAGACATTCAAAAAAGTCTGATTATTTGAGCCAGAACACATTTGACTTTTAATTTGATCAAGATGAATTCCTGAACAAATACAGCCTAAAAGTCACTGATTTTGATGATAGAATGGAACCAACACCACTTAGCCTTGTTGAAACCAGCCTTTCTGAGAGTGCCCTTTTGTTGTTCATCTCTATTGCTTCAAACCAACTAGAATTGCCAACTTCAACGAGTTTCATATATTATAACTCTTTTATCTCAATTTCATTATTATTTGTAACAGAAATCAGTATAAATTCCTATGTGCGTTTCCCTTTCTTGTGCCACTTTCACGTCTTTTTAAAATTGAAACCCCAGATAAAATGAACCTATACAATCTAATGCTGTCTACGGAATCTCACAGCTATAATAAGTCAGTGAGCGCAGCCGTTAGTTGTTTTCGCTGTGGACAAAAAGGGAATATAACAATTAATATATATTAAAAAAAACAACAAGAGGTATAAACAAGAAACTTTGTAGGTAGATTGATCTTATTGAGTAGATTTGCTTTTTGCAAAAGAAACGTAACTCTGCCTTGCCTAATTTTTGAATGAATGCCCTTTGTTCATTTGATACAGTGAACTTTG